AAAGGTCAGCACGAGTACGAGGGCGATGAAGGGAAAGGGACAGACCATGGCAAAGTAGAAATTCTTCGTGTCATAGAACGATGCGTCCAAGGAGAGAAGGAAGAGCGCGCTCCCCACGCTTCGCAGCACTGCCTGTTCTTCGAGGAGCCCCGCTATTTGACCAGCGACCATATTGGCGTTTGGGATGACCTTGAGCGCCCTCCGCTCCTTGGTGACTTTGTCCCTGACCAAGTGGACCTGCCCGCTAGAACCCATGCCGAGGACCTTGATGAACTTGAGGTCCTTTAGAGTCATGACACGAGAGGAGGGCGCTTGGGAGGGGGTAACTATCGCGGGCGGTTCGTTGTACGTAACAGCGAGAGGCAAGGGCTCTTCCTTCTCGACTGGGGCCTCGAGGACGTTGGTCGGAAGGGGCGAAGGCAAAAGGAGGGGCTTCATCGCGGCTGGGAAACCGATAATGGTGACCTTGGTGACTTCAATCACCTAAGAATTGTGAAGAGACGTTGGACGTAAGTGAAACATGAGTGTGCAATGCGACGCACAAAGTTGTTCAGCCCAAAGACCATGTTCTGGCGGACGTCCAATACGCTAGGGTCATGGAAAGCATCCAGCAGGTTTACTTTAACCTCTGCTTCTTGCTTCAGAGGGTGTCAATAGTGGGAACAGGAAGTATGGGGATTATACGTACAGGTGAGGTGGCGATAGGGGCTTCGACACTCTCAACCTTGACGAGTGCCTCGGAGTCCTCCGACGACGCCTGTGAAAGCATGAAATCGTTGTTTATTAGAGAGAGGCATGAGATATCACCTTCTTGATGGTCTTGTTGACAAGTACACGGAAAGAGATGCGAGCGGTGAAGAAGGACATCGTGCTGAATGTGGATACGAAAGAGCGTGGTGACGATAGAGGACGTGGTAACGCAAGCGACTTCGAGTGAAGGACTGTTCGAGGTTGTAGAAGATGGTAGTCCTGAGTTAGGGGGCTTTTGGAGTGATATCAGAAAAATCGGTCTTGATATACAGCGATTTCGATTCAGTCTGGGAATGTCATTGTGGCATGTCTTGATCTGCTGAATAGGGGCATCCATGAGAATTTCAAGCAAGAAGAGAGCAAAAAGAAAATCGTTAATGGCTTCCTGTGGTAATGGTCGTGGTAGCGGTGAGAAGAAGATGGCGGAGTTGTTGTTGACTCGGAAGAAACGACGCGTCGCGTCGACACGTGATCATCACAACCTGTTCTTGCCCTCGACGTCCACTCGAGTCTGCATGCTTCTAAAGCATGAAATCCTTCTCGCGATCTATGAAATTCCAGCAAATTCGAAGGAAATGGTTAATGAGCAGTAACGGGAGTCGTGAAATACCGCTGAAGTCAGGTCGCTTCTGCAGGCCTCCACGTCGCGAGCATCAGCTCTACGTGCTCTGGTCATTACAAGTTCCAGTTTCAGCAGCATAACTGGTGCTGTTTAATTACGATGCTCTTTCTCCGTTGTTGGCTGACAGAGTCGGTATCTAGGCGAACTTTAATGTTCAGTTTACGGCTCGGAACTGCATGATCCCAATAGCGCAACCGCTGACTGGACGTAAATCGGGCGTAGTTCTGGATTCCAAGACCTAAATCGTTCAAATATCGGTGTTGAAGCAGAGAAGTAATGAAGGTTTCCAGTCTTCCCTCTTCGCTGTTCATTCCTTCGTCGCCACCTTCATTATCATCAAAGCAGACCTCACTGCCCTCGCGCAATTCCATTCGCAGGCGTCCTAGGTATTACAAAATATTAGCCTGTGGGCGCAAGCCTTCGGAACGTGTCAAAGATCTCTTGCTTGACCTGCTCGCGATGCTCCTGCGTGGACCAGGCAGCGGGGTCGCTACTTTTCCTATATCTCCCTTCCGACGGATTCTGCTCGAATGCGGAGCAGAGGCTCCTCCAAGTGTCAAGATCTAGGCGCATTTCAGGCGCGTTGTGAATTATCTCGCCTAGTAGGGCAATGACCAGAGGTCGGAACTCGCAACTGACGCTGCAGAAAGTGAGTTTTTCCTCCGCTGGATGTATGTACCATCCATTGGTGTCCAGGGCGATGAGCATGAGGTTGACACAAATCTTTAGCAACTTGGGGTACAACGTCATTTTATCCGCGTGGCAGTTCTGGAAAATAGACGAAAACAGCTCTTGACAGAGGAAAACGATCCATGTGAGTTGTTGGCGATCGTTGGCGAGCCAGTGGTCCTTGCTGTAGGTGACGGCTTGCAGAACCAGCTGCATGATCTCGTTTGGTGCGAGTTTCGACAGCCGCGGATTTATTATCCAATGCGCGAGAGCTCCATGCAAGGGCACTCTGATAGAAGGTTTGTGACGATAATAACGAATACGAAGCAGCAGCGGGGTGTGGTTTTCTCTGCTTGGTGCCGACCACATCTGCAAGATTCTATGCACGCTATCGAGCACCCTCGTGGACTGGGATGACATGAGCTCTCCCATTATTGCATGAAGCTCCGTTTTGCGATCTATGCCGTCGGTAAGGCCTAAACTTGGGCGCGACTCCAACAACTTTGACAGGAGGACTTCATAGGCGTAGTATAGTACTGGTGACTCGATAGTATACCACAATCGGTTCTCGGGAAGATTAAGGCCGACGTCCTCGAAGGGCGTCAGCAGCAAAGACAGTATCGGTGCAGCTTGGCTGAGAGCTTCGAACGGGTTGGCACCATTGGTGCGCCACCAGGTGGAGGTTCCACAACACAGCAGCTGTGCCATAGCCATGGTGAAGTAGGAAGACCATAAATCTGTGGAGTGGTTCCCAGGAGCGGTGAGCAGCAATTCCAGCAACTCGATCCTTTCGCTAGACATGTACGTGTAAGCTATGAACTGAGCATTAAACCGTGGTGTAGCGGATGCGCGACGCGTGACTTACTTCGGATTTGCACGTTGGGATTTTTTGGCGAATTTGAGGCATTGGAGTTGACAAAGAGCGATTTGGAAATACTGGCGGCGACGGCAAGATTGGCACGGTAGGAGACTTCAGAGGAAAGGAGGTATCTGAATGTTGCCATTTCGTCACTTGACACCTTGATGCAATTCGAGGAGCATCCTATGTTGGTCGCCGATCTTTGCCGCTCTTCAATTACAGATTCCACAGCCGCTACCGCTTGATCAAGCACGTCGTCATCGTGGGTAATTTGGATGGTGGAATGAAACGCATGAGATCGGGCCTCTTTACGCAGTTCCGGGTCGGCTACCATACGAGTTCTAGTTTTACCACTAGGGGTGAAGGATGAGAGCCAGGATGACAGCGTGGACTGGAATGGGGATGTTGAGCGGTAAATACATCCGTGTATGACAGTGTACATGGTATAGGCACCGACGGTCACAGCAAAGACGCAAGAAATGATGGCAGCAGCGAGGATGGGCGACAGCGCGATGGTGGCTGGCAAAGATATGGACATCAGGGTATCAAGTACGCCGACCACGAAAAGTATGACAGGGGGTATCAACAGCTGCGGAAGCACCTCTACAGCAGGTCCAAGCAGCTTTTCCGTTTTTTCCCATCGTAGATGAAGTTCGGTGAGTTTCCCGTGTGCCTGGGCATGTTGGGAGCGTGAAATCATCGACACATACCCCCGAGTCGTCACAGCAAGAGAAGCGATGGAGACCTGTGTATCAACATCTTATCAAGTGTTTTTCTAGCTCTCAATGTCACGACCCACGCTTAAGATTAGTGAGAGAGACCAGTAGACGCAGAGTCGGATGGAGCTGTGATCAGGCGTGAACGGGACGGCCCTCGTAATGTTCAAGGTGGAGGCATTGGCACCATTGATGATGATGATGATCTCAGTCAAGTTCTTGAGAAGTTCGTTCGTTGTCTTCCCTGTATCTTCGGAAAGCGCTGGAAGCGATGCAATGAAGAAAGCGGTGACTACGGCAGAGAAGAGTGCGATCTGAAGATGAACAGATTCGACGGGTGATTCGGGGCCCGGTAGTCTCTAGGTTGTGAACTCACAAAGACAAGCAACGTATCAAGAGTACCTCGCCATCTATCCACGTTGGGCTGGATATTTTGCAGATGGGAACGTAACAGAGGTGACCAAGCACTGGAGCTCGTAGCTGCGACAGTACGAATGGGTTGCAGTGATTGGGCTGCGAATACATACTTTAAGTACCGATAATTTCAAAGGAGTGCTTGGTGGGCGCTTACCAGTTGCCGCGGCCTGTCTATCGTCAATCTTCCGGAGAACAACGAGCAGATCACGCGTGCCCCGTGTCGACGCATCTTGTAATTGGGTTAACCGGGTTTCCGATTGTATTAAGTTGGGTCAAAGACACCACGTACCTGCCATATCCTGCATGACTTTGTTTTGGTGTTGGATGAGATCCGTGAGGGCGGCCAAGGTGCTGAAAAAATTGATTGTCAGTTCGTAGGGATGATAGTCAGCGCCGATATCGCCACAGATCTGATCATACTTCGACAGCTCAAGCGATGATTCGACTAGACGACCAGACTGCTGGGGGCTTTCGTGGGGAATACGTTCCGACATGTCGAAAGAGGATAGGGACAGAGGTTGAACTGCCAGTTCGCAGTATAGGCTTGGCGAAGTAAGATAGGAAGAGTTTAGGGATTACGGCTGTCATGTTGGGTCTCGGTACTGATGGTCCACACGAGGTTGATTCGTGCAGTATGTCAGGCAGAATATCCTGGATATGTTTAGATAGACCCCAATTTGCTGACCTGGAAGAGAAGCTGCCGAGGCGCACGGAACCGAACACTCGAGTATGCCGTATTTGGGAATGTTAGAGCCTGTCACCCAGTAAAACGGCTAGAAATCCAATACTTGCTCAGAGTTGCTCTTGTGCTGCCAACGGTCGCGCCTTGCAGGTTTCACTATTGCTAATTTTGTTTGGCAAAATTTGACAATTGGATTAACTTTAGGGCTTTCGCATTCTCGTCCACCTTGGTGCGCTTACCATGACATTGGATGCAAGAAAAATAGATCACAAGTCATTAAGCGGATGCATTAAGAGGGAATCGAACCCCCGGCGGGTCGATGTTGAAAATTCCGATTCATGGCAACGACCCAGGTTACCACTACCCCATTAATGCGATACCGTCCATCATTTTACAAGGATCTTCGACAGGAACAGCTCATGATGATCGACATCCACTCACGAATTACATGACATTTTACGAAGCAAGCTCAAAGAAGACCAAAATCGTCATTGAAATATAGATGATGCTATTCTATGGAATTCAAAGCGATCTGTCCAGCAACGATATCACTATCGGCCGCCTTGGTCTCCCGGTTACCAACAGAGACATACAACGTTCCGATCAGGTCTTTAGGGACGATGACCTTACCGTCCTGGTGGGGAGGACGATCTTCGAGAGACCGCTGAAGAAGCTTCGTATCAGACGTTACAGCCGAGGAATCAAATTTGAAGGTGATAGCAGAGCCGGGCAGAGCTTTGGCCTTCAAAGGATGGACGGGGTTCGTAGAGGTGCATGAGGTGATGAAGGCGCCTGCCATGGAAAAACTTCGTTGGTGCTAAGGGGAACCTGAATCGTCAGGTTAACATCGTGGATAGCGGTGGTGATGTTGTCTAGATGCTTACACCAAAGTCGCCACTCCGACCTGAGAACATGCTGACTACAGGTGGGATACGGCAGCTGGCGTGGCAAGCCTCTCTGGCCAGAACAGTGGCGGGAGCAGTGAGATGGTCCTTGTTCGTGATGAAGCGTGCGGCGCCGCTGTAAGCTGTAATGCCTGTAGGTAGAATTGAGTCTTCTTATGCTGATCAAGCAGAGAAGTAAAAGTCACATACCAACACCTCCAAGTGCCTGGCTACGGGCTATGAATGGCTTGACATCGGTGTGGGGACTATTAGCATGCATGAGATTTGGTGACGGTGCGCCTGGACGGCCAAGGCGACGTACAAGCTGTACTGACAAGGCTTAGTCGTCTAAAGCCTGAAGCCTCCGAGAGAAACGCCAGGCGCGTCTTCTCGTGATGGGCGATCTGCGTAAATTGTCCCCGTACCAAGGGGAGAACCCGGGATCGGTGGAGGGCGTCTCGTTGAATTCGTCAAGGCCTGCAATGTAGAACACATGTTCGAGATGCTCCAGGGCGAGCGCGACAGCACGGGTGACGGCGCCAGTGACATCACCCCTGCAGGAGCTTGTGCGAAGATGATTTGCAGAAGCGAAGAGGTCGACATCGGTTGCGACACGTCGCTGTCGAGTATGGATATTCGTCCTCCGTGGGAGTGGTATATTGATGGTATTGACGCCGGGATATCAACGGTCCCTCGAGGGTGATGGTTTCAGCGGGTGGCATGAAATCTTGGTGTGGTGTCGGTGGAGGGAACGTAACATCTATTGATGGTCGTTTTAGAGGATGGGGAGGCGGACGCACTGAGGGATGACTATGATATCCTAAGCATCATATCGTGATTTATGATAGAATTGGCACGGACCTTGTGCGAAGGCTATCGCCCGATTGGTGTCCTTCTCATTCCCAGCATGTAAGACCAGTCTCAGGCGGCAAGGAACGACCCATGTAGGCATTTTCATTTAGCCTTGTTCGGCGAAAAGAGGCGAGGAATCTGAATGGGAGAAATGGAGGTCTGGAACACTATCCACAGAAATTCAGGCAGGTAACATACCATATTGATGACCCCGGATGGTAAAGGAGCGTCTTAGACCCCTCAAGAAAACAGCACCTCCTGTACAGCGACCTTCAGCTACTCATGATACTTGTCGGCGCGCGCCTGCCCATACTCTGTAACATACACCCACACCAAATACTTGAGATTTTCTGGATAGGAATACGTCCGTCGTCGTTCGGATGAAGGCCTCCAGCGTCAGCGGACGATTGTCCTTGTTGTAATATGATCCATAATGCAAGAACTGAGAAGTTGCGGTCGGTGAGGTCAGGGCCAAGTTGTAAGTTGAACTATGTACGTGGGAATAATTGAGGTTTGCTCGCGCCGAGTGCCGCAGACAAAGCCGATTAACAAAATCTAAGCTCCGATATTCAACGAAGTGTTTTCTTCATTTCTCTCTGTATATGTGGACTCCTCGCGAGATGTTCTGTTCTCAAGAAACGCTCAGATTCCATCCCACACCAAAACGAACACGTCAAACGATGCAGAAGCAACTTTTGGACGATCAATATTCGAATGCGCTGCTCAGGCGACTCAGTGGTGTATACTGGTAGCCACTCACGACATTTCCGGCTCTGTTCCTAGTCCTTTCTCTCGTCCAGCGTTCAAAACTTGCCGCGTCCACTCTCTGGCAGTCTCTGGCTCCTGGAAGAGCTTTGCCAATCACACTCGAGGAAGGACGGTATATCCCGGTCCAAAGATACCGGCCCGGTATTTCTCCCACCGCTCACTATGTGAGATCGCCCCTGTCCCAACCTTCCCTCCAACTCTCATCACCATCGCGAACAATGGTATCTCCCACCGTCGCGTTCAACAACGTATTCAAAGCAAACAAGACTGCATTTGGAGTTTGGCTCACCACTGGGGGCATCTTCCATGCTCGGACCGTGGCTCAAGCGAGCCCCCATCTATCGTGGATCATGATTGATTGTGAACATGGGCTCATTCCCCTAGTTCCCGGAGCAGCTGAGAGTATCGCAGCCATCCACGGCGCGGTTCCCAACGGCGGTCCCAGCGCAATAATTCGAATCCCCGCAACTGGAGTATCTGACAGCACAAGCTGGCAGATTAAGTATGCATTGGATGCAGGCGCACGCGGCGTGTTAGTCCCTATGGTTGACATCTCACTTTGACATCGTCCTTCCCAAACTGACCAATCGCAGGTTTCGACAGTTTCCAAAGCCAAAGAAGTCGTGTCGGATAGCCGATTTCCTCCTGCTGGGAGGCGTGGATTTGGCAGCCCGTTTACTCATGGGAATTGGGGTGTCAGCGTCCCCGAGTACCTGACCACGGCGAATGACAATATTTCTGTCATGGTGCAGATCGAAAATCAAGAAGGCGTACAGAACGTTGAAGGGATCGCGGCCGTCGATGGCATTGGTGTGTCTTTATTTGACTTGGTCGCGCGCTTCGTCGAGTAACTCTCTGTGATTTAGACGTATTGTTCATTGGGCCTTACGATCTTTCCATTTCCCTCGGATATGCTCCCCCAAACCCAGACCCCCACCCCGATGTAGAGAAGATCATCCAGAAAGTTCTTCTAGCCGCACACGGGGCTGGAAAGAAATGGTTCGTCAAGTCCAGTCATCTATCTGGTCTTGTCACGAGATTGATTTGAAACCATAGCGCCATCTATTGTACCTCTGGAGCACAGTCAGCGAAACGCGCAGCTGAAGGCTTTGACATGGTGGGTCTCTCATTACGTCCAAGAGTCTGGTCACAGTCTTATGGTCGGATTCTTGACACAAGATCAACGTCACTTCAGATATGGGAGCGATGTCGGAGGCTATTGCCAAAAACCTTGCAGCTGCTGTCCAGTAGGATCACGAGGCAGAGCTTTTCGTTGTCATCAACTGCTCGTTTAATGAATTATTCGAATGGAAAAGAAGGTAAAATCTATGGCATCCGCAGAGATGGTGACCGCGAGTGCGATGTCAATGCTGTGCTGCATCAACGCTCTCGTGAAGACTCTGACTCCGCAATGAAGGGCTATCAAGCGTATGGCAGTACATCATTCTCGGAGTTGATGGAGCACAGTAGCTATCCACATCTCTCTTCGTGGGTACTCATCATGGGAGAACGAGTAAAAGCCCACGGTTTGAGCGAATGCGGTGTCGATCCTAGACTTGAGGGCTGTCGCCTCAGATATCAGATCCGCCTGGGCAGGAACACTGTAAGCCAAGATGTCGCGAAGGTAGGGATGAGTAGCAAGCGTACAGCTATCTTCACGATCCAAGCGCTCTCGAATTCGGAGAAACTTGGGGCGAGATTAGAGAAATTTTGTATGATAAGTGTGGGGGTGTTTCCGATGGGAATGGCAGCGAATCGATTCTTTTTGGAGGCTAGGCTGGTGACGGCATGATATATGGGGTGCTCAAGCGCTTCATAGGAGGTGAGAATTGAACGACAGTCAGCCTCAGATAAGGGCACGGCTGTGACAACCTATTCGTGCCTGGTTCAGACAAGAGAAAGACCAAGAATTAAGAACTGCATGCGAAGTATCTTTATATCGGTGGTACCTTTGTCGACGGCAGCGCCCAAGCTCAGTCGTGGCTAGGGACACTCTTCAACGACGAGGTGCCATCATTCGGGTAGGGCGAGCTATTGGACTAGGTGCCATATGAGGACCTAAGCCAGAGTTCCGCCAGTGGTCGGGAATGCGGTGATTGAATCGTCGTAAGCGATAAGTAGGCTGGTCATCTTGGCAATGTCTTGTTTGACATCAGCTACGGTTGAAGGAAGGCTAGGAACGAAGATGGAGGCGAGGAGGAAGATACAGGAGAAATGCATGTCGAGCGATGTTAGCAGGATCGCGTCGTGAAAAGTTGGTGACCGCTACAGACGGCAATTCTATCCAGCTCGTCAGCTGTTTTGCAATTGTACATTCGTCGCCGTCAGGTGGCGTCGCTGTGTCATTATGAGAGCAAGTTCCTGAACACTTGACTGAGCGTAATGTTCAACGAAGGTCAACATAGATGCTAATGAGCTGCAGGCATGGATGAAGATATAAAGTTCCCGAAGTCATCGGCGCTCTCTGTGACGAATATCCCCTCAGGAGGGTGACGGCTTACAACCTATGATCCCCGACTCTCGACCGTGAATGACATAGAATTTCCAAATTTCAACCAAAACAAACCGTACAGAAACCTTCCAATGTATGAAAACCTTTCAAACCCCACCGACACTTTTAGCACCCCTACGCGTACGCGGCGATGGCAGTGGCGAACGCGGCATCGATCCTATCCTTGAGGGCAGTCGCCTCGGCCTGGAGGTCAGCCTGCACACCGACCTTGTAAGCCAATAGTCCAATGAGCAACGAGGAAGAACGTACAGGTGCGATTGAGATCAAAGCGCTCTCCAATGCGGTGGTGCTGGCGCTGAGGTTGGCCAGATCCTGCTTGACGAGGGCGGGGATTCCGCCGAGGGGGAGGGCGGTGAAGG